TATCAAAACGATCGTTAAGAACTTCTAACATTGGGCCTGGCTAGCACTCTGGGAGGCCGAGACGGGCGGATCGCTCAAGGTCAGGAGACCAGCCTGAGCAAGAGCGAGACCCCGTCTCTACTAAAAATAGAAAGAAATTGGCTGGACAACTAAAAATACATTAAAAAAATTAGCCGGGCATGGTGGCACATGCCTGTAGTCCCAGCTACTCGGGAGGCTGAGGCAGTAGGATTGCCTGAGCCCAGGAGTTTGAGGTTGCTATGAGCTAGGCTGACGCCACGGCACTCTAGCCCGGGCAACAGAGCCAGACTCTGTCTCAAAAAAAAAAAAAAAAGAACTCATAAAATTGGCCAGGCAAGGTAGCTCAGGCCTGTTATCCCAACACTTTGGAAGGCTGAGGCGGCAGGATCACTTGAGGCCAGTTCAAGGTTACAGTGAGGTAGGATGGTGCCACTACTCCAGCCTGGGTGACAATGAGACCCTGTCTCAAAAAAAAAAAAAAAAAATTCATAGTCTTGGGTAGAAAAAGCCTATTGCCTCTCTGAGGCAAGGACAAGGCCATTACCATCTGGCGAGGGGCCTGAGGCCCCAGGCTGCTGCTGGTGCTCATCTCCTGTTTCTAAAGCAGTGAGGCCACGCGCCCTGCGGTGTCAGGTTGTGGATTAAATTCTGGATTCCACTGGCCCAAGATAAAGAGCCCAGGGAAGCTGCTCCTGGGCAGAGCTGACCAGGGTTCAGATTGGCCCAGTCCCCGATAGGGCAAACGGAACCTCCAGACAGCAGCTAAGGCCCAAGACAGCTGACGGGAGGGCTGCGGGGGGAATGTCAGTGCTTCCACAACAGCTGCTCAGTGTGGTATGATGACATGCCACATGCGCTCTGAATACTTAGGAAATTATTGGTTTGGGTCTTTATTAAGTAGCAATTAAGTAGCTGACAAACAAAACCCCAGATTTCAGCTTTGGCCCATAGCAGCTTTTTAAGTTTGCTTTTTTTAAAGTGTGTTTTCTTCAATCACTCCAATAAATGAGTACATTTTGGAAATCTCAGGTTGATGAAAGTTCATAGATTTCTTCACTTACAGGCCTTCTGAGGTCTTTAATAGGGGGATGTGCCTGAAGCTTGGGCTTTTCCTTCCTCACAATGGCCTAGGGCTGGTCCGTGCGGCCACATTTTGGGAAATGCAGTTGTAAGTTACTACTTAACACGTTTGGCATTCTAAATAGCAGATACTTTCTTAAAAGTGACGTTTTACACAATAAACAATGGAGATAAATATTCTTGTTTTTTCTTTTTTTGAGACAGGGTCTTGCTCTGGCATCCTGGCTATGGTGCAGTGCCATCACCGTAGCTCGCAGCAACCTCAAACCTCCTGGGCTCAAGCAATCCTCCTGCCTCAGCCTCCCAAGTAGCTGGGACTACAGGTCCAAGCCACCACACCCAGCTAATTTTTCTATTTTTTGTAGAGACAGGGGTCTCCACTGTTGCCCAGGCTGGTCTCGAACTCCTGGCCTCAAGTGATCCTCCCACCTCAGCCTCCCAAAGTGCTAGGATTACAGGTGTGAGCCACCGCGCTGTGCTGATATAAATATTCTTTTCACAGCCGGGAGAGGGATGAGAACACGTACCTATCTACAGTCCGACTGACACGAGAGAGGCTCCAGGTCGCCTGAAGAAATGTCAGGTTTTATGTAACGCCAGCAATGCCAGATCCAAAAGTTATGACTGGGAGAGTGACAACTGAAATCTGGCGTTTTCTGTCCACGAACACGCTGCTCGCGTGTGAGTGCCAGTGTCTTCCCTCGCCGCTGTGTACGCTCCTGCAGGGCAGGGACCGCGTCTGTCTGCTTTGCTACTGGATGCCGGGGCGTGGCAGGTGACACACTCAACGTGCTGGAGAAATTAATGAGTCTGTCGTGGGAAGGAAAAGAGGGCTCTGTTGGTTGTTTTTCCCTTCACCCCTGCCTGCCCCTCCTTTAGTCCCCAGTTCCAGTCCCACCTGCTCTGTCACCTGTCCACCTGTGGTAGTGCCCTGTCTGGCCTCCAGGGTCCTCATTGGTGAAATGGACACAGCATCTCTCTGCTAATCATGCAATTCGCACGGCGATATAAATGATAATATGAATGTTGTGAAAGGCCTCTGAAAAGTGTGGTAAGTTAACGAGACTGGGTCACATCTCTTCCCCGTTTCCCAGTTCCTGCTCAGAAATGGGCTCCAAGGCCCCGAGCCCCTAACTCTATCCTGGCCCTTTGAGTAATCTTTGCCTACTTCAGGGAAAAACGACATGGCATCCCAAGAAGAGGGACCGATACTGCATCTCCATTTCTTCCCTTTGCTATTCCCACGATCACTCTTCCACCTAGACACTGGGGCCATTGTCCTGGCCGCCGGGCCTTCTCGCTAGAGCTGGGGGAGGGGCCCGTGCGTGTCACAAAGGGCATTCAGTGATGCGAGGGGTGGGTGTGGCACAAATACCAGAGGGGGGCTGGGCACATCCCACTTACTCATTCTGAGCCCTCTGGAGTAGCGAGTACTTAGAAGTCTCATTTGAAGATGACAAGAAAGTTCCCTCCGATTTCTCGGCCTCGGCCCCAGCCTCCACCTACCCCTGTTCCTTCACGCTCTTGGCCCAAAACTGTCCTCCCTCCCCTCGCTCTCCAGCCTCCGAGTCTGCAGCCTCCTGCCCAGAACTACCCAGCTCTTTCTGCTCTCTGCCCCACCGGTTTCCCGGCTGTGACTAATCCCCCCGATTCCCGCTACCCCAGCCCGAGGCTCTACGTGCCCAGCTCCTCTGCTCTTCCTGCCCGACTGCCGCCCCTCTGCCACCCCGCGGTCCGCCTGGCTCCCCTCATCTACTACTCCACCATCCCGGCCCCCACCCCTCCTCCCAGCCCTTCATCCTAGGCTCTTGCCCCTGCCTACTGTCCAGTCACCCCTGGCCAGACCTACCAGGGCCCAAATCTCCTCCCGGGGAGACGGTGTCCCTACTACTGGGACAGTTTAGAGCAGCCCAGAATTGCGGGGACGGCACCCTGGCCTGGTGGACATCGTGCAGGCAAGACACCGGCAGCCCTCGCTCAGCCTCGGTGAGTTACCGGACCCCTCGTCCATGACTGGCCCCTGGTCATCACACTCCCGTCTGCGTCTGGCCTTCACCCCCGTCTTGTTAATCCCCTTCGCATGCCCGGGATGCCTTTAACGATTCCCTTTTCTAGGCAGTCTGGTCCTGTCCTCTCCCGCCGCATCGGCCAGCCTGCGTGAGCCTCTGCTGGCGTGACTGGCCTCTCCGTGGAACTTGGTCTGTGACCACAGAGCAAACCGGGGGACCGGCAGCAGACAAGAGCAGAGTGAGGAGTGGAAAGCGTCCCACCTGTTCGCAAGGAGGCAGGCACGGGGGTAAGGGTGAGTACAACAAAGAGGGAGCTCTGAGCACACCCACGCAGGGGACGAGGCCCTGCTATAGAGAGATGGGGACTCGGGGTTGTTTTATTTGTATTTTTTGGTCTGTTTCCTCCCAGACTCCATTTTTTTTCACCCTAGGATTCTAGAACCATACCAGGGACTCTTCTGCCCTTGAGAAATGTCTCCTACAAAAATGGGACAGGGCCTTCCATTGTGTTCTCATCAAAGCTCTGAGGCTGAGCCCCGTCTCAGTCAGCTGGCCCTACCCCAGAATGGGACAGGAAGCAGAGTGTGGAGGACAAGAACATGTCGGATCCTACCCGCATGAGAGCATCCAATGAACAGATGACATTATTTATAAAGTGCTCTCCTCGAACTGATGTCTTGATTAAATTCAATCTCAATCAAAATTCCAACAGATATTTTTAGGGAATTTGACGAGTTGGTTATAATTTGTATGGAAATGCAAAGGGACAAGAATAGCCAAGACTCTCCTAAGAGGAAATTGTCTCCTACCAGATATCAAAACTTGATACAAAAATGAGAGTAATTCAGATAGTGCACTACTCCTGCAAGCAGAGAGAGACGGACAAAGGACATGGCATAGAGCCCAGAAACAGAGTCACACGTGTGGGGACACTTTCTTTAACATAAAAGTAGCGGGTCAGAACAGTGGGGACAGGACTGTCTTTTCAGAAAGTTAGTGCTGGGTCAATTGGCTACTCATCTGGAAAATAAATTAGGCCGCGTTCCTATTTCCCCACTAAGCTCCAAAATCAATTTCAGGTGAAATGTAGATATAAATCAGAAAAGATAAAAACAAGAAAAAAAAGAAAAAGAAAAAGAATTTTACAGATGTGATTACATTAAAGATTCTGAGATGGGGAGATTATCCTGTACAAACACAAACAGAAGAGCTAAAAAAGAATGTTAAGAGTCCAGGCAAAGCAATCAGGGAGGGCTTCCTGGAAGAGGTGCCATTAGAGGCAGAAAGGTGAGTGGCAGGAGCCGAGGGCTGGTTGGTGGAGCCAGGCTTTGAGAGCCAGTTGAGCTGGCAGGGCAGACCCTGGGCATAGCCTGGTTTTCAGACTCTTAGTCAGTGGTGTGAGGGTAAAAGTTTAACAACAAGCCCTTGGGGAGTAGGGCAGGAAGCCTGATTTGCAGCCTTTGCCGGTTTCTGTGATGTCAATACTCCCAGCATGCCCGGTTTCCAGCTACCAATGTGATGTCACACAATGCCAAGTTGGCAAGAGAGGCACAGTGGCTCCCCACTACACAGCAGTTATTTCCGCTACACAGAGACAATAAATAGTATCGACAACCTCGCGAGCATTGAGAGTAGTAAATTGTAGTAAAATAATTCAGAAGTGATGAATTTTGAATAGTAATTTTTTTTTTTTTTTTTTACCACAGCACTTTTAGTTTTCCTTACACAATGACGTGTTGCTGGGGCCTAATGTTTTCACATAACAGTAGAAAACCAAAATTTGTCAACCCTTAAAGAATTGAGAATTGCCTACAACAACCTCACATAAATTCAAAGGATGAATACATTTACAGGTGTCAATGCAAACGGCTTCCAACTCAAGCCAAGTAACCGCCCGTGGTGTTGCCACAGGAAAACATCAGGAAAGACAGGAACACTGGGTCCTCAGGCTTGGACTCCTCCAAAGCCTGCCAGACCGGCAAGATGGAAAGGACTGGGTCAGGACTCTTGCCGGCCCCTAGAGAAATCCCGGAATGGTCGGCTCCGACGCACTGATACCCTGCACACACAGATTCCCCTTCAAGCATGTCCTCACCGCCACCACAAGGTGAGCCACAGGTCTTAAGGGTTCAAATCAAAGACATGTACAGGGTATTAAAGAACCAAGGGGACAAACAGTACACTTGAATACAAGGTCAAAATCAGCAACAAGTTCAACAATCCGGTGCTGATACCAGATACAAGCTTGAAGGACAAACTTCTTTTCAAAGGCTTATTCCAGTTTCGTGAGGCTAGCATGAAGTGTGTACGTTTGCCAGAGCAAATGGATACTTCTGGATCAACTCACGCAGCAAATGCCACGCATCTGCTCCTCGTCCACTTAGAAGCATTTGCGGCGGGGGATGGAAGGCCCGGACTCCTCGTGCTCCTGCTTGCTGATCCACGTCTGCTGGAAGGTGGACAGCCAGGCCGGGATGCAGCCGCCAATCCACACCGAGTCCTTGCGCTCGGGGGGAGCTACGATCTTGATCTTCATGGTGCTGGGCGCCAGGGCGGGATCTCCTTCTGCATCCCATCGGCGATGCCCGGGTACGTGGTGGTGCCCGCAGGCAGCACCGTGTTGGCGTACAGGTCCTTGCGGATGTCCGCGTCACACTTCATGGTGGAGCCGAAGGTCGTCTCGTGGATGCCACGGGACTCCACACCCAGAAAGGATGGCTGGCAGAGCGCCCGCCTCTGGACACTGGAACTGCTGGCTGCCGATGGTGATCGCCCGGCCATAAGGCAGCTCGCAGCTCTTCTCCAAGGATGAGGAGGATGTGGCAGTGGCCCTCTCCTGCTCTAAGTCCAGGGCAACGTAGCACAGCTTCTCCTCGATGTCGCGCACAGTCTCCCGCCCGGCTGGCCATGGTGGTGAAGCTGTAGCCGCGCTCCGTGAGGATCTTCATGAGGTCCCGGCCAGCCAGGTCCAGATGCAGGATGGCGTGGGGGACAGCATGTCCCTCGTAGATGGGCACCGTGTGGGTGACCCCGTCTCCAGAGTCCATGACAATCCCAGTGGTGTGACCAGAGGGGACGGGGACAGCACGGCCTGGATGGCCACATACATGGCCGGGGTGGTGAAGGTCTCAAACATGATCTGGGTCATCTCCTCCCTGTTGGCCTTGGGGTTCAGAGGGGCCTCGGTCAGCAGCGCCGGGTGCTCCTCGGGGGCCACGCGCAGCTCGTTGTAGAAGGTGTGGTGCCGGATCTTCTCCATGTCATCGCACTTGGTGATGATGCCGTGCTCGAGGGGGTACTTCAGGGCCAGGATGCCGCGCCCGCTCTGGGCCTCGTCGCCCACGTCCGAGTCCTTCTGGCCCATGCCCACCATCGCGCCCTGGTGCCGGGGGCGGCCGACGATGGAGGGGAACACGGCTCGGGGCGCGTCGTCCCCAGCAAAGCCAGCTTTGCACAAGCCGAGGACACCGAGTGGCGGGCCGGCGGGCTGGCGGCGGCGAGTGAGACCGTAACTTTGTTTTGAATGTCATTTATTCCATTGTAATTTATAGAATTTAATTTTTAAGAATAGCTGTGTTTAATAAAAGTTCCTAAAAATGTAAAAATTGACTCCCACGAGTAGAACAGCTTCCTCCAGCGCTCCTTGAACTCCGTGAAACCGCCTCGTGGAACTGAAGGAGCTCCAAGGAAGCGGATGTATTAGCTAGTTCTTGCTATCGAGCGCTTGGCTGATACGTCCAGGCCTTAGATCTGTGGAACCGCCCTGTGGGTGGGATGGGAATTTTCAACCTGGGTTCTGGGTCCAGCTTTGCCACAGATTCTTCTTTCTGGGCTTATCCTCTAAAGGTGTGATTTTGGCGTCACTGAATGGGTGGAGGAGGAGCTGGGAGTCAGCGGGCGGCCACCCTGCTCTGCCATGGGACCGGCTCAACCGCAGGGCCGTGACAAGCCCTGCTGGAGCCGGAAGCAAATGGAAAAATTAGTGAAACTGAGCCAGTGTTGACTTAAGGTTTTGATACTTCGTTCATTACAGATCTTTTGCATTAATTTTGATTATTTTTATTGTAGTAAAATATACATACTATAGAATTTACCATTTTCACCATTTTAAGTGCACAGTTTTATGTCACGAAATACATTAACACTGTTGTGCAACCAATCTCCAGAACTTACTTCATCTTGCAAAACTGAAACTCTCTACTGATTAAACTCTAACCCCCTATCCCCTCTTCCCCTAGCCCCTGGCAGCCTCCATTCTACTTTAATAAGTATTTATGAATCGATACTGACATAAATAAATGATTGAATAAATTAATAAGCGGGGAGGAAGAGACGAATCTCCTATGCAGAAGAATTTCGAATAAATCATGCAGATGCTTCACCCTACAGGAGGACAAGCATAGCTGTGGGCTGCCTTAGTGGCTTTCTTTCGAAGAGCACCGTTTAGAAGGGGGTGGGGGGAGAATTAACTTTACAGCGGAGAAATGTGACAAGTGCTACCTCAGTCAGGTGGTCAAGGTCGCCATGAATTATGTTGACAGTAGGTACCCTTGATGCCATGCGATGAAATGACACTTGACCTCTGCCATCTTCCAACAGCCCACAACCCAAATAGTCTAATCATGAAAAAAACAGCACACAAATCCCAACACGGGCACCCCACAGTATGCCTGACCCGTGTTCCTCAGAACTGTCACGATCATCAAAAACAAGAACAGTCTGAGAAACTGTCACAGCCAAGAGGAGCCTAAGGAGACAGGACAACTCGATGTGATGGAATGTTCTTGGTGGGTTCCTGGAACAGGAAAAGGATATTAGGTAAAAACTGAGACATCTGAATAACTATGGATTTTAGTTAATAACCATGTGTCAATATTGATTCATTAATTGTAACAAATGTAGCATACTAATGCAAGATTTTTTTTTTTTTTTGAGACAGAGTCTCACTCTGTTGCCCTGGCTAGAGTGAGTGCCGTGGCGTCACCCTAGCTCACAGCAATCTCAAACTCCTGGGCTCAAGCGATCCTCCTGCCTTAGCCTCCTGAGTAGCTGGGACTACAGCCGCGCGCCACCATGTCCAGCTAATTTTTCTATTTTTAGTGCAGACAGGGTATTGCTCTTGCTCAGGCTGGTCTCGAATTCCTGAACTCAAGCGATCCTCCC